CGGTAGTGAAGTACCCACAGAAACACGATCTCCCATCATGTATATTGTAATTACAAAACCCTTTATGTAAGATAATTACTTACTGGTGAGAATAATTAAATTCGCCGCGTTGGCTGGATGGTGCGAGCTGTAATCCCCATTTCGATGGATATGATATTTGTTTTTGTTCACACTAATACATTTGGTACGTTCACCCTTTAGCTGTAATAACGTTGGAACGTATCAAAACGGTCTCGATTCGGATATACGCAAAATTTTGTAATATAACTTAACTGAACATCATTTTTGCATTTAAAAAAGCTAAGACAGTACCTTATTATTTCAATCAGTAAGTTGTGAATATCTCACAAAATTGATTGATAATTGATAATAGTTATTTATTATACAAGAGTGGAAAGTTCCTTTTTAACCGCGTGCTCGATTTGGATGACCGAGCAAGCGAAGGATTCTAAAGTTGAATCACGAGCGCAGCGAGTGATTCTAAATTAGAATCCTGAGCGTCAGCGAGGGAAACAAACGAGCACAAGGTGAAAAATCTTTCCACTCGAGTGCAATACGTAACTTTTCATCCCACCTCAGCGAGGAAATGACAAAATGAAAAAGAAAACAATTTATAATGACAAAATATTTTTATTTCAATTAAAACACATTAAGATAATCTATAAATTGAAGAAAATAATAAGAAGTAGAAAATAATTAAGAAATATTAAATGTAACGTTGCTACAGTTACTTATGTTAAGTTTAATATTTTTGTTAGGTAATGTTATGTTGGTGTTTGTGAATTGTGCGCTGTTTTGTGGTAAACTACTCGTATCAGTAATTTTAAATAGTTGTGCCGATTCATTGGATTCTATTGGCGTAAATGTTGGCGAGAGAGGGCTATTGTTTCCAATCTTATGGGGGCTCATTTTAGATGTAGAAGGGCGAGACCAAGAATCTGACAGAGGTTCTTTCAGCGTTATGGCCTCCACGATACTATTACAAATTTTTGATTTACTTTGGATTGAATCCTCTATGTATCCCTCTACAACCGAATTAGACTTCCAGCCTCCATGGCGCTTAAGCGATAGAAGATCAGCCCCTGATTCGGCCAAAAGTGTGGCTGAGGTTCTTCTAAAACAGTGACCGGTGTATAACGGGGGTTCTAAAAGTCCGAGAAAAGTTGCTATTTCTCGTGGAATACTGCCAATTTTATTCTGACCCATAGGTTGTCGGATACACTTTCCGTTGCGATATTGTAGAAAAAATCGTTCAATTGGGGTGTTAGAAGGACGTAAAGCTTGATATTTCTGAACAATGTTTACATATTCCTTGCGAATAACGAAGTTGCGGTCTTTTTTTGTCTTGGTATTTAGTACATTAATTAATAGCAATTCATCAGAATTATGAGAATATTTTGATACGTTATTGACATTAAGTAGTGTAAGTTCATTTGTTCGACATGCTCCGGTTATACCAATAATAAGAACAACCTGTAACAAAAGAAGTATTTATAATCGTAAATAAATTAATCAAATTAAAAATATTGTAAGTACTATGTACAATTTTATCAACAACAAAAAATTACACGTATTGACTTACTTTTGCCGCTAAATATACGGAATCAGGTGCTTCATTAATAAACTTTGCAATTTCAGATGCTGTGAAAACCTTCGATTTTTTTGGTTTATAACCAGATGAGGCTCTTTTTAAAAATGCCACTAATTTATGATAGGTGTCGATATGAACGTCTTTCTTCATCTTAATTGTTAATTTTAGCATTGAATACGTACTCCATAGCGTGCTTGCTTTCTTGGTCTCAGATAATTCTATAAAATATGCCAGCAAAACGTTTTCGGAGAAAGTTTTTGCTCCTTTAGCTAGTCGCCACATGTTAAATATATCGTACTGTTTCAAATACTTCTCTCGTGATTGCTGAGGGAGAAGGCTCATTTGCGCATTATTAACTGTTTCAGTTAACTCAGTTGGCGTTAGATAAACTTCATCGTCGCTAATGTCACTCATTTTAGTTGATTTTTTTGTACAGTTTTTAGGTTATGTTAATTATATTAAGCAATAAAACGTGAAAAACTAGAATGGCGCGAAGCACGCAAATAAAACAAAGAAACCAAGAAGGTTCCAAATTTAAATTTTTTCACAATTTAAAAAGTTCTAATCATAAATTTGGCACCATAGAGGTTACATTAAATAGGTTTAATGACGTTTTGAATTTACAATTATATTGAGTACTCATTATATGTGATGTTCTAAATTCAAATCTACTTTGCCGCTCAAGCGAATAAAATAGAATTTTCCAGCCAGATTTCGAAGCGCAAAATTACACTTTCCGAGGTGGTGGGATGAAAATCTTTTTAATTTCAGTAAATTAAACTACATGTATCGATAAATAGATTAAGGCTTAACCAATGCCAAGCGTGATGCCTTGTGGATAAGGTATTCACATTTTCAACAAATATTTCATGCTCATCAAGATTTTTTGTGTCCTTTTCCGAGGTCGCCTTTGTCTCCATACCCTTATTCTGCTAAGACTTAAGATGTACTTGTATTTATCTTTCTCATATTACCCGGAGCTTTGACCCTGGGATAATGTGATATAGTATAAGGATTCTTAACTTTAAATTACTTGAAGTCAAGAACAATAAAGTAGCTTGAGCATTATTAGATTCCACGAACAGAATTTGAAGTCTTTCTTCCAAAGTAAGTTTTTATTTATTCGCCAAATTTCGTTTTCTATATCGTAGGTACAAAAGTTTTCCAACGAACTTTTATACTTCAATATTGTAGACTTACAAGCAAGAACCTAACAAAATACTAAGCCATTTATTTCTCTTTGAGATGTTAGATTTTAGTTCAGTGGTCTGAACTGTACGCTGATAGTATTGTATGTACGATAGTATGATAGTCAGTTAATAACGATTGCCTTATATATAAGTATACAGAACAAAATATGCGGTTGACAGAGAATAAAAGATGGATTACCGCACGGTAGTAATTTGCACATAAAATGAATTAACAAACGTCATTGGTGGAGTCTCTGAAGTCCTACCTGTATCAAAAAAGTTCATTATCCAATAATGTGTATATTTTGGTGTATCCATATTACATGTACAATTCCATATATATTAAATATTACATACGCTTATACAATAAAGTCCCAAGCAATATCCAAGAGTTAACCATAAATAAATTCAAAGATAGTATAAAAAAGCACTTATCAAAAAAGCTTATTACAAAGTCTCTGATTATATTACAGACAAAAAATGCTTGGAACTTTTGAACTGTTCCAATCATTCCAACAGGTTTTCTATATTAAATAAATCATGATTGTATTGCCGTTGTAACAACATAATGATTTGTAAATGTTGTTGCATTATACTCTTAATGTTGTGGAGTTTTTTTCGCTCGTTTTTCTTCGCAGCTAAAAAATATGTCCAATAACGAGTGGTAGGAAAAAAATGTTTTGAGGATTCAAAAGAGTTCTACTATTCATCCAATTTGAATAAAGATATATTGATTTCTGATATATGTAAGACCTCGACGACACCGTGATATGGACGTAAAAGGAGGAAATAATAATGTATTATCTTGAGCTCCTCCGTGCATCGGTAGGCATACATAGCATGTTGATCCGGCAGTCCTCACAACATTTGCAATAGTTTACAACCACCAATCCGAACTGGGCGCGCATGGTCATATATGATCCATCAGTGTTGGGCGTAATTAATTACTTTTGTAATTTAATTACTAATTCAATGAATAGTAATTGAATTACTGTAATTGAAATTACTTCAATTCAATTACTTACGTCTGAAATAATTTAAATTACATTAGTTTGTAATTCAAATTACTTAATTACTTTTTAAGGGGAACATATAAATTGAGCGGTTATTAGCTTGATGCCCGTACGCAGAATAACAAACACAACACAAACAAAGTTTTAGTGTATAATTTGCCATGAATTTATGAGTGTGTAAGTGTGTGCCTCGTTACCAGTACCTACACAGCTACCTAACCCTTTTCTAGTCTCTCGGCGGCGTGCACCTTTACTTTGATTGATTGTTCTCATAATGCTACAATGATTAACTTACCAAAATCTTATAAACTTTCTGATCAAATGTTTGAACAAAGAGTAGTATTAATGTCTAATTTAAAATAAATTAAACATTTTTGTCTTAATTTTAAAAAAGGTGGTTATAATTACACAATTTATCTGATCTATTTCGTAAATAAACATTTGATAAATCATAATATAATAGTTTTATTTAAAATACTACCTCGTCATTAAAAGAGATTATATATAAATAATTGAGTAATTGCAATTGTTAATTGAATTACATTTCAATAATTTCAAGTAATTTGTAATTAAAGTCACCAATTACAATTTGTAATTGAAATTGTTAATTTGAAGTTAATTACATTTTGCCCAACATTGTGATCCATTATCCCTGTTCCATCTATACGAAAGACATGTGCTTCGGTAGAGGGTTGTTTATAATTATTACTCATAATCTTTATATATATAATTCTTTTGTGAGTGTGTATGTCACTGAACTTCTCTTAAACGACTGGACCGATTTTGATGAAATTTTTTGTTTGTGTTCAAGGGGATCTGAGAATGGTTTAGATTCACAATTTTTTCCGCTGGACAATGTTTTTTTAATTTATTAGTAGTTGTTGATTTTGGAATGTTTTACATTGGATCCGACAGACGGCGCTACCATACTAGACAGGACAACGTCTGTCGGGTCCGCTAGTTATATATAAAACTAGCAAACCCGGCGAACTCCGTTTCGCCACCAGATGGCTTCGTTTTATGTAACATTTCGTTTGGTGATTAAAAGAAGATTTTTTTTTTAATTTCTCCTAAATTTTCTTTGCTATAAACCTCACGGAGCCCGAGACCTTTCCAACGAATGCAAAACCCGACTTATTTTTATATAGTAGATAGCAATGTATTTTTATGAAGCTTAAGGCTAAATGTTTATTTGTTTACTTATAGCGGATGAAACTATCCAAGGCCCTGGCATCATGAAGGGCGGCGATGTTTGGGCGTTGGTCATCAGGTCCGTGAAGGCCTCCGATGCTGGCCTGTACATGTGCGAGCTGAACACTGAACCTCCGGTCAGGAGCTTCCATAAGCTTACAGGTAACAACAGTTAATTCATACATATTTTGCTCATCTTGCAGCCTAAGATATACCAGAGGAAGTTCGTCAATAATTATGTATGCTTCAGATATTTTAATTGAGGTTGTCTCCATGCCAACTTGCTCCACTTCTCGAATCAGACGCCATCTAAAAACAAACTCCTCATAAACATCTCCTCATCTCACCTCCATCTCCTCCATGTTCAGCCCTTGCTGAGTTTCTTGCTGGTTCTTCTCAGTACAAGGTCTCCCGTCGTAATTTTGCGAACCGATGGCGTTGCTTCTTGACCTTCACAAGTGCTTGTAACAGCCTAGACTGAATAAATGACTTTTCATTTCATTTCATGTATGCATCTTTTTATCGCCTCATCCTGAACTTCTCATTCAACAAAATATTATTTTTATTATTCATTTATTCAATCAAATCAATTACATTTTTGATATACAATGGCTGTATCTAAAAAACCCTTAAACATGGGTTTATCTGTCTACAGCGATTCGCTCTAACAAATATTTTTTAAGTTTATGTTTACAATTATCTTTCATATACAATTCTTGAATAATGGGGGGCATTTCATTTAGAAATTTAGGAATAACATATTTTAGTGTTCTCGAACCATATACATTGTTGGTTTTCGGTAGGAGATATTTTTTATAATTAAGGTTACGCAAGTATTCTGGACGATATGAATGCGTATTCTAGTCATTCTTTTGATAAGTATGAAGATTTGGGTATCGAAAACATAGCAGCAACTAGCAGGCCAGGAAGGTGAAGATGGCTGGTGTGACATGTAATAAAACTGCTGCAAAAGCTATCTTCGCGTCTGGACTCTACCTTCACGTAACATCAAGAGGGGTGGGCGGAATCACGCGTTCGGACCACTGTATAAAAACACAGTCTTGTATACTCTATTCTATTTTGAGCATTTAAGTGCCAGATGTTTCAAATCTAAAGATAATATTTGTTTCTTAGGTTTTCACGCACATCATTCATTAAATAAAACTAGTTTTAACGGGTTAATGCACGAAACTTTATTTATTGACGTTTCGCAGCCATTTCAGGTGTGCATCCTCAGACATAAAAAAATCAGTACTCTGAGGATGCAGACCTGAAAAGGCTGTGAAACGTCAATAAATAAATAAAGTTTCGTGCATTAACCCGTTAAAACTAGTTTTATTTAATCTAAAGACAATTTTATAAGAAAAACAACAACTTACTCCTCGTGTTTGTTTGTACGCCGGGTTTCATGGTGTCACCGACTCGAGAGGTCCCGGGTTCGAATCCCGGTGGGGCCAGATGATTGTATGATGAATACGAGCATTTGTACTCCAGTCATGGATGTTTAATATGTATTTCTATATAAATATACTTATATATGTACTGTATATGTATTCTATCCGTTACCCTAGTATCCCATAACACAAGCCTTTCAGTGCTTACTTTGGGGCTAGGCTAGTTGGTGTGTGTTGTAAAAAAAAAATGAAATGACATGAAACTGAACGGCAATGCTTTGCTGCCTAAAAAATAATAGGAGAAATTTGACACAGCCATTAAATTCTCGGTAGCCTTATAACGATTAGCATCAGGAATATTCTGTGAATGAATTCTTTCACAGTGATTTCTCGCGGCCTGACTCCTCCGGAAAACCAGAACGTGACAGACAGCTACTCAGCGAACGCTGGAACACCTTCGTCCTCGGCTCGCGCTCACAACTATACCGACTGCTGCGTGGCCGCTAACGTCAGTAAAGCCTGTCTGGGCTTTTGCAGCATCCAAACCATCCTGGATGGCACCGGCCAGGACCCAGAGACCTGCCAACCTGACTTCCCAGCTATTGTCAAGTAAGACCTACAAAGTACAAATAAATAACAATTTGAATTTACCATTCTCTTACTAAATTAAATTATCACAATAGTTAAATATTGTTGTTTAAAAAATATATTTTTCATCCCACCACCTCGGAAAGTGTAATTTTGCGCTTCGAAATCTGGCTGGAAAATTCTATTTTATTCGCTTGAGCGGCAAAGTAGATTTGAATTTAGAACATCACATATAATGAGTACTCAATATAATTGTAAATTCAAAACGTCATTAAACCTATTTAATGTAACCTCTATGGTGCCAAATTTATGATTAGAACTTTTTAAATTGTGAAAAAATTTAAATTTGGAACCTTCTTGGTTTCTTTGTTTTATTTGCGTGCTTCGCGCCATTCTAGTTTTTCACGTTTTATTGCTTAATATAATTAACATAACCTAAAAACTGTACAAAAAAATCAACTAAAATGAGTGACATTAGCGACGATGAAGTTTATCTAACGCCAACTGAGTTAACTGAAACAGTTAATAATGCGCAAATGAGCCTTCTCCCTCAGCAATCACGAGAGAAGTATTTGAAACAGTACGATATATTTAACATGTGGCGACTAGCTAAAGGAGCAAAAACTTTCTCCGAAAACGTTTTGCTGGCATATTTTATAGAATTATCTGAGACCAAGAAAGCAAGCACGCTATGGAGTACGTATTCAATGCTAAAATTAACAATTAAGATGAAGAAAGACGTTCATATCGACACCTATCATAAATTAGTGGCATTTTTAAAAAGAGCCTCATCTGGTTATAAACCAAAAAAATCGAAGGTTTTCACAGCATCTGAAATTGCAAAGTTTATTAATGAAGCACCTGATTCCGTATATTTAGCGGCAAAAGTAAGTCAATACGTGTAATTTTTTGTTGTTGATAAAATTGTACATAGTACTTACAATATTTTTAATTTGATTAATTTATTTACGATTATAAATACTTCTTTTGTTACAGGTTGTTCTTATTATTGGTATAACCGGAGCATGTCGAACAAATGAACTTACACTACTTAATGTCAATAACGTATCAAAATATTCTCATAATTCTGATGAATTGCTATTAATTAATGTACTAAATACCAAGACAAAAAAAGACCGCAACTTCGTTATTCGCAAGGAATATGTAAACATTGTTCAGAAATATCAAGCTTTACGTCCTTCTAACACCCCAATTGAACGATTTTTTCTACAATATCGCAACGGAAAGTGTATCCGACAACCTATGGGTCAGAATAAAATTGGCAGTATTCCACGAGAAATAGCAACTTTTCTCGGACTTTTAGAACCCCCGTTATACACCGGTCACTGTTTTAGAAGAACCTCAGCCACACTTTTGGCCGAATCAGGGGCTGATCTTCTATCGCTTAAGCGCCATGGAGGCTGGAAGTCTAATTCGGTTGTAGAGGGATACATAGAGGATTCAATCCAAAGTAAATCAAAAATTTGTAATAGTATCGTGGAGGCCATAACGCTGAAAGAACCTCTGTCAGATTCTTGGTCTCGCCCTTCTACATCTAAAATGAGCCCCCATAAGATTGGAAACAATAGCCCTCTCTCGCCAACATTTACGCCAATAGAATCCAATGAATCGGCACAACTATTTAAAATTACTGATACGAGTAGTTTACCACAAAACAGCGCACAATTCACAAACACCAACATAACATTACCTAACAAAAATATTAAACTTAACATAAGTAACTGTAGCAACGTTACATTTAATATTTCTTAATTATTTTCTACTTCTTATTATTTTCTTCAATTTATAGATTATCTTAATGTGTTTTAATTGAAATAAAAATATTTTGTCATTATAAATTGTTTTCTTTTTCATTTTGTCATTTCCTCGCTGAGGTGGGATGAAAAGTTACGTATTGCACTCGAGTGGAAAGATTTTTCACCTTGTGCTCGTTTGTTTCCCTCGCTGACGCTCAGGATTCTAATTTAGAATCACTCGCTGCGCTCGTGATTCAACTTTAGAATCCTTCGCTTGCTCGGTCATCCAAATCGAGCACGCGGTTAAAAAGGAACTTTCCACTCTTGTATAATAAATAACTATTTTGTGGTGTTGAAACGTGTACTCTCTGTAACTCAATTTGAATGTATAACCAACTGGATTTTACATTCAAATTGAGCGCGTTTGTACAAATTTTGAATACGCCTGTCTGTAGTTGACTATTGTTTTCACGGATTAGGTTTTATTTCAATGTTTGCGTTGTTTACCATTTTGTTTACATAATTTCTGACTCCGACTAACGGGCATGGTACATGATTTTATGTTTTTCCATTAGTGAGTTGACTTTAGTTTGTCATGTATGAAATTTAAATCTATACTTATAATAAATCTGTCGAGAGGTCAATTCTGTGCATGAAATATATTTTCAAAATAACTATCAGGGGGTGATTAGTGATCGATACTGATGCCAAAAATGCAATCAGTAAAATTTTTGTCTGTCTGTCTGTCTGTCTGTCTGTCTGTGTGTATGTTCCTTATAGAAACAAAAACTACTCGACGGATTTTAACGAAACTTGGTACAATTATTCTTCATTCTCCTGGGCAGGTTATAGTATACTTTTCATCACGCTACAATCAATAGCAGCAGAGTAGTGAAGGGAAATGTTGGGAAAACGGGAGAATTAACTCCATTTTTAAGCTTCCGTCGCGCCTTAATGGTTAAAGTTACATAGAAATCATGTATGACGAAAATATTCTACATCTAAAAAATATCCCTTAACAGCATATGTCTATCTTATGGTTGACTCACAATAACACGTGTAATTATATAAATAAAGTCATTGTTTATAGCACAAGCCTGAGAACAAAAACTATAGTTTACACTACAGCTCTACTCCGAAGCGAAGCGAGGGCGAGGGCGGGCCACTAGTTACTTAATAATTGAAAAAATGCCTAATAAATGGTTGATCCACCTCTCACCCGCCAACCTTATTAGAGACTAAAAAGCTAAAAAACACAATGTATTTCTAAAGCGAGTTATTTCTAAACATGCATCCACTGCAACGAGGCAAGCGTATTTAATCCACTTAAGCCACAACTCGCATATTTGAAAGCACTCTAAAATTAAATACATAATCATCATCAACCCATGTTCGTCCACTGCTGGACATAGGTCTCCCCTAATGCACGCCACTGCTCCCGATTTTGTGCTACTCTCATCCAGCCCACTCCAGCCAGCCTACGAATATCATCATCCCATCTTGTCTCAGGGCGTCCTACACTACGTTTACCGAGTCGCGGTCTCCACTCAAGAACTTTCCGACTCCAACGTCCATCAGTTCTGCGGCTAATGTGACCAGCCCACTGCCACTTCAGTTTGCTAATTCGGTGGGCTATTTTGGTGACTTTGGTTCTCTGTCGGATTACATCATTTCTGATGCGGTCCTTCAGGGATACTCCGAGCATAGCCCTTTCCATAGCTCTCTGAGCGACTTTAAACTGGTGGACTCGTCCAGCCGTGAGTGTCCACGTCTCGGCGCCGTAAATACATAATAATCGTCTCTAATCTATCAGGTGCATGGCCGACGGTCGAAACCACGTTCCCTGCTGCGTCCAAGAGCACGTTCCGGACATCTGTCAAGATGTCTGCCGCGGGGAGTTCACTCCGGTCACGGACAACATCAAGACACACTACTCCTGCGCAGCGTATATGGAGAAGACCCTCGCTTGCATCGTCGAAGGCATCGGTAGGCATGACTTCAGGAATCTTGAGAAAACCATTTGAGGCGCAAATTCCTTATAGACATCACGTCCACTTAAAAAAATATGATGAACTGCACACCCTTGAGCAACTCCTAAAGACTATAAAATCTTTATGTGTTACATTAAAGTCAATCCTCATCATCATCAGCCTATTAATGTCCTTACTGTTGGGGCACAAGCCGTCCCTATGAATGGAATAGGGAGATTGGACCATGACGCGGGCCCGGTGTGCATAGGTGAGTGCTAACTATTGCAGATGCAACCAGAACCAACGCCTTAATGTGCCTTCCAAATCACGGAGTAGCTCGAGATAATAAATTTTTGGTCACCCATCTAATGACCAACCGTTGCGAAAGTTGCTTAACTTCAACCATCGCAGCTGAACGCTCTAACCACTTGCGCCATCCATCCACCCATTCTATTAAAATACCGTATTCTTTAACTTACAGAACTTCTTCCTAGCCCACCAGAGGATGTTGAAGTCGAATCATTAAATGAAAAGCAACTTAATGTCACGTGGAGTCCTCCTATAGAAAATACGGATACAGTCACTGAGTACATAGTAAACGTAACAACTCTACGATCATTCGACGCACACCTAATAGATCCGTCGGAGAGTGCAATGAAGAATACTACAGCGAAAATGATACAACCTTTGACATACAAAGTTCCAGCGAACAAAACCTATTTAGTGCTTAACGATCTGCTGCCATTCACAATGTACGAGATCACTGTTACCTCGTATAATGTTCATGGTTCGAGTTTGCCCAGTTATGCGATTAGGTGAGTAAATTGGAAATGGAATAATCAATCAATCATAAATACACAAAGTTCAATTGGTTTTGTATTGGATTTGATTGATATTTAATATAAATGCAGTCATTCAATATGGAAAATTTAAATTGCTTTGGTATTGAATAAGCATGAAATTTGCCGTAAAACATTTTCATTATGTAGTTTAACTTCAAGTATACAATGCATTTTGGATATTTATCTTAGATCTCTAACCCTTACTCCGGGCAAGATGAAGACAACAGAAGTTGCGGCTGCCCCAAAGCTGCCTGATGTCAGGAGTTGCTGTGTCAATGCGGGTGTCAACTACTACGGATGTGTCGACAAATTATGTGACCCCACTAAAACATTTGAGATCGGTGTAAGTTGAGTTATGGAGCATAACATTATCTGTACCAACATGTTTCCGTTCACAAATAATAGATTAAAAAAAAAACAGAAAAATCATACATATATCTTCCCTATATCTTCATTTGGTCAAAAAATAAGTATGTTAATCAGAAAAATATCAGCAGACGGGACTGGAACTCTCACCCTTCACTATCCGGGCGAATGTACTGACCGTTATGCTACCGCGGCCCTATCTAGTAATATTTTATTTTATTTTGCTGCCCTTTCTAGTAATAATTTTACATTTTAACATCGAGCAGTTATATGATTAAAAAAATAAAAAATCATAACAGAAATATCAATTTAAAATTTCGGTCAAAAAATCATTAAAACAATGATCTATAAAATGAAAAGTTATCCATATAATCAAGTCATACCTCATTAAATATTTATCTATGCACGTATTACATTATTGTTATACCTAGAGCACGTGACTAACACCAAAACCCATCTCTCACGCCATTTGTAACTAATGCACGATCAACCAAGGGGCAATTTTTAACTCTCAGCTACAGGTGACAGATCTGATGATATGCGCGCCCTGGGCTGGAGTGACGTTTGGCTGTCTTGCAAATGGGATGGACCACACCCCGTGCTGTCGCGCTCGAGGCTTACCTGAAAGCTGTCTACCTCTCTGCAGCGGGAATATCACAACCTTGGACTTCAATCATTTCAAGTAAGCACCATCGCCATTTCAAATCTAACCAAAATTTTCTTTAGTCAAATTAATCTTTTTTTTACTTCGGGCAGAACTTTGAATATATTTTCATAATGATTTTGACCTATTCGGTGTCGAGACCCTTGGTTCGTGGGGTCCTAGCGCTATAAGGCTTTTTAAGGAAATAGCAAAAAGGTTACTCGACGTCACAGGAGACCGAAGAGCTGGCAGCTACCTCGGACAAAGAATTAATCTAGCTATTTAAAGGGGGAACGCTGCCAGTATCTTCGGAAACTTGATTAAAGGGGCTCCTTTATTTCGTCCTTATATTTTAGTTATTGTATTATATTTTTTAAGGTTTTTAGTTTTAAGGTCATTGTTCAATATTCTAGATTTTGAATTTCAAGTAAGTATGTTCATTGTAGGTACTTTTCTAATGGATAACCTTAATTTTTGTAAGACCGAGGTTTTAACAATCATTTGTGCCTTGTCGTTATATTGTTTCTTACGGTCTTCCATTCCTTAGGTGTCTACGCTACATGTCTTCATACACCAACTGCTTGCTACAAGGCTATGGAGTATTACCTGGTCCCCCATCTAAACTCCACTTAACCAACATCGATACAGACTACGCAGTGGTGCATTGGTCTCCACCAGCAGCTTTAGCTGATACTGTTCAGACATATAACTTGCATTACAAGAGCTTGTCAGTCGATGACGAATACAGAGTTATTGAAAGGGTGAGTAAAGAGTTTCTGGTACTTCTAAAGCTCTAATTAAACATTATGAGAATAATTAGAAGTGTAATATTTGTAGTAACTGTAAGGTCAGTCAACATTGTAGTCAAATAAGATGATGGTGTTTTGGTGTAAGTAATAATAAGTTGAAAACATAGACTAGAGAGCTTTTCTTACTTTAAAATTAAAATGAGACATATTTAATGCATTCGTGCTTATTTTGTTATATTTGACCTGCGCTCTATTCCACCAAGTCGACATATGTCAGTGACATAATATGTAAGCCAACTGTTCAGTTGTAGGATGATATATACAAACATAATATTAACAACAACAAACTTAATAAGAAATTTTGTTTCCCTTACCAGGTACATTCACCATACATTTTGGAAGATCTGGAATCGAACACGGACTATGAGATCTACGTGGAAGCTGTAAACGAGCACGGCGTCGGCGAAGGCTCACCAAGACTGATATTTAGAACACAGAGCCAGGTACTTACATATATTATACTTCATCATCATAATAAGCCTATCAATGTCCCCAATGTTGGGGCACTGGCCTTCCCTATTAGGGATGGGCGTTTTTAGAATAACGATGCGCGATAACGATGCCAGGTTCGGATACGCGCATCCGATGCGACTAGATGCTGTTATTGGATGCCGATGTCATATAGTTTTTGTCAACATTACCACAGCAACAGTGCCACAAACTTATCTGTGCCAGTGCAGATGTCGCTAGCGGTGAACAAATATGTCATAAAAATGTCAAAATGCTATGGATAAATTGTAGTTCAAATTTTTGCCACCGGCACAGAAAAGTTTATGGCACTGTTGCTATAGTAACGATGACAAAAACTAGATGGCATCGGCATCCATTATCGGCATCCAGTCATATCGGATGCGCGCATCCAAACCTGGATGGAATAGGGAGATTGGGCAATGAACCACCACGCTGACCCACTATATTATACTTAAAACGTTGCAAATTTTTAAGGAAATTGTTACAGTAGGCAATATCAAAATGTAATGTTAGACACTATCCTATTTTATTAAATTCTTTGGCAGAGAAATTTTACAAAAATATAGTCATCAACAATTACTTTATGCTCGCCAACTGTTACGTTTGATAGCGGTCTGTGTTCATTATTAATTTGCACACACATGCAAAACTTTAATTCGTTATCTTGGGGTTTAGTTTAAGTTTCTATACTTCAGTTCTTGTGTACATGTTTAAGTAACTTAATGTTCCTCAGAGGCTAATATAGGCTTATCCCAGTCCTGAGTTTCTTTATTATTGACCACCTCCGTGGCCGAGTGGTTTGTCGCCGGGTTTCATGGTGTCGCCGACTCCCGGGCTCCCGCCGAGGTCCCGGGTTCGAATCCCGGTGGGGGCAGATGTTAGTGTGATGAACATGAGCATTTGTACTCTAGTCATGGATGTTTAATATGTATTTCTATATAAATATACTTATATATGTACAGTATATGTATTCTATCAGTTACCCTAGCATCCCATAACACAAGCCTTATAGTGCTTACTTTGGGGCTAGGCTAATTGGTGTGTGTTGGAAATATTTATTATTATTATTATTTAATTTCGGTTACATTGACATCTTTTTTCCTAGCTGCTGGAAGAAGAAGAAGAAGCGGCCAACGCGTACAACGTAACAGAGTGTTGCGAGCGCGTTCAGTTGGCCGGCGTGTGCATGCCACTGTGCACGTATGACGCGAAAATGTCTGATTTGAGAAGTCTGGCGCCGCTGTGTGCGCAAGAGTTCCATAAACTACTGAGATGCGGGGCTGGAGGTAAGCACTATCACTACCACTTTAGATCGACCAAAGGCTTTCCGTACAAAGTCCCAAAGCGTATAAAATTCCATTAATTTTCGTCTGTCCTTGGACTAATTTTAACCTTAGCAATTGCAAACCGAGCATACCTGCACACCACAAGCATACCTATTTATTTATTGCTAGAAATCCTTTTGCTACTCATATTTCCACGGATACCAATAATTTCAATCTTTAAAATTTAATCCATGCGTGCTTTTGTGTTTTTCTAGCATATTTGACCTGCGCCCTATTCCAAGTCGACATATGTCAGTGACATAATATGTAAGCCAACGGTTAAGTTGTAGGGTGATGTATATACTGCATCGATTTCATTAACTAATCTTCGGTGCCGGTTTCTCTTATGCGTTTATTTTTCTTTGAAAACAAAATCTGTAAAATCAAAGGAGAAATTTATTCGTTCTTTATTGATATAAAAATATATCTAGAATATAATTACGTCTGTCACTAACACTTGTCTATGGATTTAAAATTTGGAATAAATGTTTATTATTATTATTAATTCTTCTGAATAAGAACTCATTTTTTCATGACATTTTATAACTAACAACGAAAATACTACAATTGTAACGCAAATCTGACAAAATTCCAATCTTATGTCAACAATTACCGTCAATCTATATATATATAAAACCCAAAAGTTGACTGACTGACATAGTGATCTATCAACGCACAGCCCAAACTACTGGACGGATCGGGCTGAAATTTGGCATGCAGGTAGATGTTATGACGTAGGGATCCGCTAAAAAAGGATTTTGATCAATTCTACCCCCAAGGGGATAAAATAGGGAATGAAAGTTTGTATGAAACTTTGTCAATTTTAAACCGATCGGGCTGAGACTGCATGCAGGTATAAGAAGAATCATAGATGAATGTCATTGTGTATAATACAAGCCTGAGAACAAAAACTGTAGTCTACACTTCAGCTCTACACCGAAGCGAAGCGAGGGCGGGCTGCTAGTTTGTCATATATGTCGACTTAAAAAGAAATCCCTTATTTAACAATTTCATTGTTGTTGAAATAAGATACGGAGAATTATTACAAAATGCCTGCCATATTTACAACATATGTCGACTTAGTGAAATAGGGCCCTGGTCATCTGTATTACCAGCAAATCTATAGATTAAACTAACAGATGTACACAGAGACATAAAATATTAAAGACATAAGTCAAGTGTTGTCTGTATCTAATGTCATTGCACTAGTTTCAATCAAACTTAAATTTCGCCGCACACGGGCCTCCGACCACAACCACAAAACGCCACCACCGGCATATTTCTTGTCGTTTCTATACATTTTATATGGACTCGCCACACACGGTACGCCGCTGGCCGCCAAACGCTACAAATCGTCGTTGCTCGCTTCTTGTGGCCCACACCGGCCACATAATGCGCCGATACAAAACGCTGCCACACGTCACTCGCGCGATTCCCTACCCCTCACTCCCTTACCTTGGCTGTCGCGCGCTTCAGCCACTTTACTAGCCGCTTCTAGCTTCTCGTCGCAGCGTTTGTGGCTTTGGCGTGAGGCCCGTGTGCGGCGACACTAAAAGTTTATTAATGTCTCTGAATACAATCGTAAGACTTTTGGACTGCTTGCCATTGTACTTCCTATGATGTTTGACGTGTTTATAACTTATTACGTTCGTTTAGGTCGCAACCACGCGGCGTGTTGCGCGCGGCGCGGCGTTCCCGCCAACTGTCGAGGCGTGTGCGCGGGCGCCTACACCGGCGGCGTCAACACCTGCGTGCCCTACATCGGGAACATCGTGCAGTGCTTCGAGGAAGGTATGTACACTGCCATCCCAACCAGGTATGCTATACGGCGAGGAACAACTGCCGCAGCGTGTACGCGGACGCCTACACCGGCGGCGTCAACACCTGCGTGCCCTACATCGGGAACATCGTGCAGTGCTTCGAGGAAGGTATGTACACTGCCATCCCAACCAGGTATGCTATACGGCGAGGAACAACTGCCGCAGCGTGTACGCGGACGCCTACACCGGCGGCGTCAACACCTGCGTGCCCTACATCGGCAACATCGTGCAGTGCTTCGAGGAAGTTATGTACACTGCGATCCCTACTAGGTATGCTATACGGCGAGGAACCACTGCCGCAGCGTGAGCGCGGGCGCCTACACCGGCGGCGTCAACACCTGCGTGCCCTACATCGGCAACATCGTGCAGTGCTTCGAGGAAGTTATGTACACTGCGATCCCTACCAGGTATGCTATACGGCGAGGAACAACTGCCGCAGCGTGTACGCGGACGCCTACACCGGCGGCGTCAACACCTGCGTGCCCTACATCGGCAACATCGTGCAGTGCTTCGAGGAAGGTACGTACACTGCAGTTCAAACTCAATGACTGCGCAATTCACTCACTGATATACCGAAATGCGTGCGGAGTGTTGCTGAATTGAAACCAGATCAATGTAAAGAACTGCACTCGCTGTTAAATTCAAAACCACCATAAAGATTGAGCAAGCTTTCTAGGTATTTGCGAGTGTTACTTATGTTTCTGTTTGTACAAAATGAAAATTATCTTAACTAGAATATAATTATTATAAACTGTGGTGAGGTAACTAAATCCAAAATACTGAACAATTCTTCCATTATTGCCTCACTGTTCCCCAGGAACCGGCCTACTGCCTGGACCTCCTCGGGAGCTCCACACCCATGTGACCAACAAGGAGTCCCTGCTTAGACAAGGATCAATCGCTTTAATTATACATAGGTCATACCCAAGTCCTATTCCTTCCCTAAGGAACCGTCTTAATGCCCGAACCACCTCGGAAGCTGCTACTAGATTAGAATGAATCACTATCGTTATGAATTTCTTTGCCTTATAAGACTTGGAAATTGTCATTTCCAAGTCCTCCACCTGCACCGGCTTTCTGCCCGGGCCTCCTGGAATACTCCACGCACAAGTGACCAGCAAGGGCTCCCTACCAGGGCTTGTTTACCGGTTAATTTTCAAACCCAAATCAGTGTCAAGTACATTATGAGCGTTTTATTTAGGTTTGGCTCTACCTTAACCTTAAAAACCGGTTTTCCTAAAGAGGGAAATCAAATAGGTTTTGAATCAATTTAGCTGTTTTTAAAGAGTTTCATTTCGCCCTTTCTGACGGCATCGATGAAAATGAATAACTTGACTCACTAGATGCTAACAAACATGTCAATAAATGCATCAGTCTCTTGTGGTGAAGTGTAAATCACGTCTTCTACGTGATGATAATCATCCTCGATACGATTAGGTCTCTAAGCCCTAAGCACGTCGTATACGTATTGTAAATAGTATATAAGATGTAGGTTAAGTTAATTAAATGTTGATTTTCACACTGAACGCTCGTCGTGATTTCTCCCGAGAGTCACCCACACCCCATCACCACATGGCGACCGTGACGTAGAAGATCGTGCTGCATCGGACGGGGTCCGTTATGTGAGTTTTTTGGAAATTTTAATCGACCATGGCAGCATACTTCTGAGCGCAAAGACCCAGAAGGGTTCGCTTGAAGAAATTGAAGATGATTATTGAATCACGGAAAACTGCAAACAAATTACCTACGCACTCGGTTCCTCGGTTTCACGTATATGAAGATACATTGAAGAAGAAGATATATTCCAATACTGCAAAAGGGCATGAAAATGACTACGTTATTATGAAGGAAATCATTAAGCTACAATTAATGTCATGTAAGTTGTAATGTCGTCAGTTTTAGCATTAAGAACAATAAGTAAATATTACCCGACATTATTTTTTGTTTTGTTAAAATAAATTATATAACGCATTAAGATCTTAAAATGCAGCTTAACAGTTAATTCATCTCAATTTTTTATATTACTTTTGTCCCGGTAGACTTTTCATTTATTACTTATTAAGGATTTTTCGCAATTTAAAGTTTTAAGGTTTTCATTGTAAAAATGGCAAGTTTTGATTTAGAGACCGCACTAGCCTTCTTACCTAGAATGACGGGAGAAGAGCATAACACACAATGTTTAATTAATAATATAGAATTTTACAGTAGCGTTATTGATAATAACTCGCAAAATACTTTAATTAATTTTGTTTTAAAAACTAGACTCTCAGAAACAGCAAAAATTTATTTAGAATCTTCTTATGATAGAATTAATCATTTAATTAGTGACATAAAACATTATTTTTTACCGAAAAAGTGTCCATCATCGATTCAATTTAAATTATTTAAGTGCAAACAAGGAAGTAGGTCTATAGAACAATTTGGTTTAGAGATCAATAAACTGTTATCTGAATTAACTATTGCTCAATCGGAAAATGATCAGGAAAAGATTAAAATTTTGCTTCCGTTAAATGAAGCTTTTGCAATAAGATGTTTTGCTGAAGGTTTAAATAGTAGTCGAATAAATTTAATTTTAAAGTGTAGGCAGCCTACGTTATTAAAAGATGCTATTCAAATAGCACTCGAGGAATATATTACATCATCGAATAGAGAGGAAAATATGATTCAGCAATGTAATTACTATAAGTCAAGGTTAAGTTACAGACCGAGAGTAAGAAATTATTATTTTAAAAATTGTAGCGTAGCAAGTAAAGGAATGTTTGCAAGACGTTGGAATCTCGCATTCCGCGCGACGGTCAAGTTCATGCGCGCAAAGCGCTAGATAAGCAAAATCGTGCTCAAATCGATGAGGTGTGCTCTTATATAGAAACTTGTAATACAGAGGTAATGAATTCTATAAATAGTTTTAATGACGAGTGTTATGATTTAAAGTTAGACGAATTTTTTTTAGAAAAAGATCTATGTTGTAAAAATAATTTGCTAAGTAAAAGCAATGGTAACTTAATTAAGTCTAACCAATGTAAGGAAAAGCGAAAAGCTTCTTATAAAATACGAAAGGAAAATATGTTCGCAATCGACGAGATCACAATGTCTAATGATAACTCTAAGAAAGAGTTCCCTGCAATTAAAGCAGATTATGTAAAAGCTAGTTCTTATGTAAACGTAATTGTTAAAGAGTATTTTAATGACAAAATAGACAATAAGAAGTATGTGCATTCTAAATATAAATTATGTGTTTATGCACTTTCAAAATGCGAAATATATATAAAGTCTGTGTCATTCCTAGAAGAGAAAAGACTAGCGAAAGATGTTGAATTGCTTTGTAAGCATTTACAAATAAAAGGTTTGATAATTAATGAAATAGGGTTAAAAGTTTTAATAACTTAAGGGAGAAATATAATGTTGTATTACCCATATTAATTGTAATAAGCGATATTACACATGGAAAGGATAAAATGAATAATAATATAATAAAAGGGGTTTTTAATATATATCATAGGTGTAAACCCGAAAGCTCGAAAAATAACAATATTTTATTTAATGTTTATTATACAAATAAGTGTAATAAGAAAGATTTTATTAAGAAAAGAAATAATTCAAGACATGCTATTTAGGAAGGCATACAACCAACGTGATGTTGGAATAGATTAATGAAAATGTAAAATTCTAATATGTAATGTTTTTTTTGTTAAAAATAATTGTTTAGTAATTATAGTAAGGATTTATATTGATAATAATTGTTTGTATAAATTTTAAGATATTTTTTTAATAAAGTAAATGAAATAATTTAAGTTACATATATATGAGATTAGTAAATCTCTTAAAAAGGTTTTAACATGTTGTTATGTATAATATGTTAATAAATCTAGTTACATATGTTAGAACGTAGAAGAAAAGTGTTTAGGGTCTTCCTTTTCAGGGGAGGGACGCCTAACGTTTCAGGGGAGGTGTGGTGAAGTGTAAATCACGTCTTCTACGTGATGATAATCATCCTCGATACGATTAGGTCTCTAAGCCCTAAGCACGTCGTATACGTATTGTAAATAGTATATAAGATGTAGGTTAAGTTAATTAAAGGTTGATTTTCACACTGAACGCTCGTCGTGATTTCTCCCGAGAGTCACCCACACCCCATCTCCACACTCTGAGCATTAACAAGTTGTAACTTGATTATATAATAATAATAATAATAATAATAATCTTTATTATTTCTTAAGATACATGCATTATAAGAAAAGAGAGAAATACCTTACTAAGTACTATGTTTTAAAACAAAACCATATTTAATCGTTGCACATACTTAAAGACAACTACTTAAAGATATCATAGCACTTTAACATAATAAAATAAAAGTAACTTGAAGCATCTTAATATGCTATTAACTTTAAAATAACCTACACTTTTTATTTGGTCTGAGCCTACGCGGTACAAAGTATGAAGTTTTGAGATGATGTACTTACGAATTTGGGTTTCTGGTATTTACACTTCACTCACTGTATATGGCACTAGGTATTTACCAAACAGCATTTTTATAACTATTAAACATTGTTAAATTGCAGTCATTAAATTCCTAAAATATGATTTTGTTTTCTGTTATGCAATTTTTTTAGTATTTACCTCCCGTGCTAGTTAAAAACTGTGTTACGGAGAAGCAATTATTCAGAATTAATTCGGCCAAAACGTATTTATACAATCTTCAATATAATTTAAGCACTTTAAATACTAGAATTTTGTGTTTATGTACACTAAATTTCTTACTTTTTTTTTGTTACGGGTAGACAGTTAAGCTTTGCTACACAAAAAAATGGGTACTATTCTAACAGTTACCACAGTATATTTTAAAAAGACAGACTTTTTCACTTCGTAATAGTGGCAAACTAAAAAAGGCTAGATACTATTAATAATCCTAAATATACACATTGAAGTCTATATATATTTTTTTTTATAATAATATAAATTAAATAATGATATTAATTACTACATAAATATAATAATAAAGATACAACATTAAATATATATAAATGAATAGTTTAATTTACATAAATATATTATATTTGCATATTTTCCCTCTTTATGTGGATATAGTATATAGATTTCAGTTTCTTATATAGATTTATGCTCGCTCGAATAATAACGGTATCTATTCCATTCCAATACCTAAATGGATACATTAAGTTAATAACTCCAATACTATCTCACAAATACCAATTTAAAACACTCTTCAACTATCTTACAATATCTGTGAGTGCTTCAGTTGCAATATAATCTAGTTTTAAAAGAAATTCTGTTAGCTTTTTCCCGCAATTATATCTAGTTAGGTCAAACAATTTAACTTCTTTGTTAATTCTATTATAGAGTAATGGTCCATGATAGTAATAAAAATGTTTGCCAAAATCTGTTCTGCTCATAGGCACCTTATACAGAGTATCATGTCTTCTTTTTGTCATGTCAATAATAGAAGGCTGACTATGTTGTTTTACTAGAATATATTTAATATATAGTTGTCGTACTGTAAGAACCAAACATTCTTTGTAAATTTTTATCGTAGGGAATCGAAAAGGTTTGAAGTTAAGAACTTTTAGTATGCACCTCTGTGCCCTTTCAATCCCTATCATAATAGTTTTCCTAGCACCCCCCCAAGCACTTATCCCATATGTTAATATTGACTGGCAAAGGGTTAAGTAAACCATTCTACTGGTGTTTGCATCTTTGAGGTTCCTAATTTTTTTAAATATCGGTATCAATTTACGAATACGGCTTTTCAGAGTATCGATTTGAGGTTTCCAATTTAGATTGCTATCAATTGTTATACCTAGATATTTGGTGTTATTTGTATGCGATATTGTAAAGCAATTGCAATTTTTCGTTCCACAGTTTTGATTAGAATGGGCCTTTAATTTAAAATCATGAAACGGTTGATTATTATTGTAAATAGAAAATGTCAAATACTTGGTTTTATGTAAATTTAAGGTGAGCAAATTATTTTTAAGCCAATTTGCTACAACTATCATTCCATTTTCAGCAGTGAGGTGTACATCATCCCAACTCGATCCAGAAAATATCACAGCGGTGTCGTCTGCAAAAGATATGATTTTCGTATTTGGTAACTGTATATTGCTGAAGCTATTGATATAAATCAAAAACAAAGTTGGCCCCAACACTGAACCTTGGGGAACTCCATACTTGACAGGCAGCTTTCCACTGGTCCATGGTCCCAGACTTACGGATTGAGATCTGTCACTAAGATAATTTCTGAACATTTCCAGTGCGATACCTCTAATACCCGCATCCTCCAGCTTGCATAACAGCAAAGGGATGGAAACCGTATCAAAGGCCTTGGCCAGATCCAGGAAAACCCCAATACACTTCTTTTTAACATCCAGTGATTTGGCCACGTGTGATATCAGATTTTCAATAGCATCTATGCTAGTCTTTTGATGTCTGAAGCCATACTGATTGTTGGATAGCAGATCATTGTTTTCTGAAAAGGACATAAGTCGTTGATTTAGTAGTTTTTCCAGAATCTTAGCCAAAGTTGGCAGAAGTGATATTGGTCGGTAGTTTGTAATTTTATCTCCATCTCCCGATTTGAAGACTGGCCTCACTATGGAGTGTTTTAAAAGTTTTGGAAATACACCGGTTGCTAGACAGATATTGCAGAGGTGAGTAATTGGTGGTCCAAGTAGATCGCAATACTTTTTAATAAACAGTGACGATATTCCATCCCATCCGCAAGATGCTGTATTTTTTAGTGATTTAATAACTTTTTGTATCTCTAGCAAATCTGTTTCCAAGAGCAACAAAGAATTTGCATGTCCGTATTCACGCTTATAAGAAGTGACCAAACATCGTTCCGAAACTGTCATATTATCAAGGATGGCTCCAGCAAGATCACTTCCCACATTGACAAAAAAATTGTTTATATAGTCAACGGATTTTATTTCGATTAGTTCAAACAAAACAAACTTCAAGCGAATCCAACGCGTGCACGTGTCGCTCTGGATTAAACCGGTTTGTTAAGGTTTTAGGAAACGCTTTCATTTCGGACGCGCTCCTAACGAAACATTTACTAAAAACCGGTATTAACCTTTATTTACAGGTATTTTCGAAACCGGTTTCCAGCCCTGCTCCCAACTGCTAGATTGGAATCGATCACTATCGTTATACATTGCTCATTTCCAATTCCTATGCAACACAACAATTCTTACAAATCCCTATTTGCTCAGGTACTGGCTTACTGCCCGGCCCTCCTCGGGAGCTTCACGCCCAAGTGACCAGTAAGGGGTCCCTGCTACTGGACTGGGCGGCGCCCCAGGACGTGGAGAACGGAACCTTCTACGTGGTGCACTGGCGCAAGGTCAACAACAGCTCCCAGTCATACACCTACAACACACTGCCGGCGTTTACACAGGTATTTAAGAAATTATCACTGTGGTATAAACGCGATTTACAAAAATCAAGAATGTGGTTTAAAATAATGTTGCTCGTTTGATAGTAATGCGATGCGTAACTATTAGTATTACAAAAGGATCCTTTCTTATCTCCATACAGCTGTGTCTAATCTTGTACCTCCAGTATTATTATGCATTTTTTTTTTAATATTTCCAGCACTCACACCAATTAGCCTAGCCCCAAAGTAAGCACTGTAAGGCTTGTGTTATGGGATACTGGGGTAACGGATAGAATACTTTGTAATATATAAGCATATTTACATCCATGACTGGAGTCCAAATGCTCGTATTCATCACACAAACATTGTCCCCACCGGGATTCGAACCCGGGACCTCTCGAGTCGGCGATACCATGAAACTCGGCGTACAAACCACTCCACGGAGGTCGCCGGAGGGCATTTACGAGTATGTGTAAACAAATCCGCCGAATTCATAAAAAAAATATAAATGGAATTTATTATCCACTTGTTCCACATAAAAGTGTCTTTTAAACATTTAAATCAATGGCAACCCAAATAATATAATATGGAAAATGTGCACCTTTAAATTAAATAAAATAAGCTACGGTAGTCATAAAAAAATGTACGTGATTGGCAAAAGTTTGAATATAACAAAATATCAAAATACACTGATAATAACTGAAATATGATTTTTTAAACAAACAATCACAATCAAGGATATTAATTTAAACCTATAGTAAGAATTAGCTGTCGTCTCAGCAATCAGTTAATGACAAATTGCGTCTAGGTTATAATATCATTCTTTAAATGCAAACTCCCTTTGCAAAATATTTTAATTCAAATTTTCACCAATTATATAAATTTTGATAAGTGAATCCTTTTAAGTATTATAAATGTTTTTTGAGAAAATTTGTACCAAGGTACAAAATTGGGAGGAAATCAAATGTCTCCTTTTAAGGTTATTTTAAATATCGACCGAACTACTTAATGAATTTTTGTTTACTCCACGATAATTACACTAATTTCGGTATAATTACACAAATTATTTACAACAATATCTACTGTAGTTCTCATTATTAAAGGCAAAATGTATTATTAAAGGAAATCGATATACTTAAAGATTTCTAACAAAAATCCATGTCAAAGTTTTTGCATAATTTAAAAAAAGATCAAGTCTTGTAAGTTTAACTATTTCAAACAAATACAATGATAAGCTCATAAAAAGTAAACATCAAGCACCTTTTTAAATTACTTGAAACTTGAAATTTGCTGAAACTCCTAAAAGCTCAGGAAAGTTCCGAATCGCAAAGATACTAGTTCCATTCACATATCAAACTGGTTTGATAATAATATTATAATTACTAGTGGCCCGCCCTCGCTTCGCTTCGGTGTAGAGTTGTAGTATAGACTAAAATGCCTCTCCATATAATTATAAATAAATAACTGAAAATGGTTGCCTTTTCCAAACTTCTATTGACATCACGTCACTCAATTGTTTTGCCTTCCCGGAACCACTCCACTAACATTTGAAATTTATGGTATGGTATTAAAGTTCAAATTGACATTTAAGTATTATTACTAATCGTTTGTATGGGAGTACATAAAAGTGCTGTTTTTGGACTTTTTCAGGCAATTTTTATAATTTTTCTCCGCGTAAGAACCATCCTCGTACTTCAAGGAATATTCTAAAATAATAATTATCGAAATCGGTTCAATTGTTCTCGAGATTTGCGCTTAGCACATTCAGCGATTCATTTTTATATTATAGGTTCAAAAGTATTTTAATACTTTTTATGAATTTATGTACCACCTAATTAGCATTTGGAAATAATTAAAAAATAAAGAAGAAATTTACTTATTAATTTAAAAACACGTAGTTAATTAGATTTGTTAATAATCACACTTATTCTTTTATTATCATATTTATTTACAGAAATATTTCAATATTTTTCTAATTATATTATTTGATCGCTCTGCACTTTTTATCTCATTCTGTTTATTTAAATTATAAAGTAACTAGTGGCCTGCCCTCGCTTTGCTTCGGTGTAGAGCCGTAGTGTAGACTATAGTTTTTGTTTTGAGGCTTGTATTATACACAACGACTTTCTTCATAGTAGTTATAAACCAATTCTAAGTAAAAAATTCGTTGCATAGTTTAGGACCCGTTGTACCGAATGCAACATTGCTCTGCTGTTCCAATGTGAAAAAATATTTTTGTATTGGACAGTGTATTTATCGAGGAAGGCTATAGGCTATACATATATTACCAGGCTACAGGCTATACATATATTACCAGGCTACGAGCATCGATGAAAAATGTTGCAAAAACGGGTAAAAATATTCCATTTGTGAGATTCCGTTGCGTGCGTTTGGTAAACGGTTAAAGTTACACAAAAATCATGTAAGACAGAATTCTTCATTTTCCTCAAATTAACGCGGGTGAAACCGCAGGGGACCTCTAGTTGTGACATAACTGTAATAGTAAGACGTATGGTATCGCGGATTTTTTGTAGATATTTGTATCCTCTATAAAACTTAAGTACATCACTTTGCTCTAATTGTCAATGACTTCCGCAGCGTATGCGATATAAGGCTATTTTTTGGTATTTTTACACACGTTGGGTTACATTATCGAAGTTTTCATACGGCACACTAACTTTTTTGAAAATACTCTATAGCCTATATTAATCAGTGATAATTTAGCATTAAAAATGGTGAAAGAATTTTTAAAATCGGTCCAGTACTTTTTGAGTCAATTCGTTACAAACATACTTACATACAAACCTTTCCTCTTTATAATATTAGCATAGATGTAAAACATGATTATGTCGATGTAGAATATTCATATTCATTTTATAGGCTTCATCCTGTGGTGAATAAGGAATAAAGAGATTGGCTGTGTTCAATTAATCTGGGAACATTTCGATTCGGATATTATTCGATAATTATCGGCTCAGTATTATTGAATGATGGATGTACGGATAGTGTTCAATAGTTTCCGATAGGCATTATATCTAAATGACAAAACTCAAATTCGTTTAATGTAATAGTTTCAAACGGATTTGTGATGAAATGGATATAATTTAAATCGCTTGAAAACGTGTACGCTTATTTAAGTGCGATCTAAATCAGGTTGTGTTTTAAGAATCAAGGTTGTAAACAGTGGTTGGAGCAACGGACTGTATTTTTAAATATATTGTCACAAACGTTCTCGAAACAGAAATGCGAATGTGCTAGAGATCGAATGTGCCAGAGCACGGGTCGCGATAGAGGTCGAGTAATGCAGTTCATTCTAAAATGAGCCTTATGCAGTGCGGCGTAAGGGAGAAAGTGCAACGACATCTGCAATTGTTTACAAGTTATGCGCGTTACCTGCGTAGGTATAAGTAGGTACTTCGTACTCGCGGGTGTTATCTAATTCTCAATTTAACAGGTATTTTCTAGAAAGCTTTGATCGGTGTATATAAGCGCGATTGGAGCCGCGCAGAGACAGTTGAGTTTCAACAGCGATTTCGGAGCGAATCCAAAGGCGATCAAAGTGCAACAAAAGTGTTCAAGTGCGATTGTTTAGAGACTTGTATAGTGAAATACAGTGTTTAGTGAGTGTTTTGTAATTAACATTGTGTGTTAATTGTGTGGGCTGTGTGGTGAATATAGAACTGTCAAGCGTGAACTGGCATATAATTTCGAACTCCATCCCGACTAGGGTTACCATATCTCAGGATTTCTCCAGAGATTTCAGGATTTTTGGAGTCTTTTCAGGAATGCGGCTGGATTTTGCAAATTTCTTGAATCTCAGATTTTTTGAATGGAGATTGCTCAAATTGGCCTAAATGCATAAAAAATATTGACATACACGGTAATTCTTGGCGTAATTTATAATTTAATTTACAGTCATTAGATTTCAACGGACACCTTTGCATAATATATTTACTTTAAAAAGGACTTTTAATTTTACCGGTTTGGAAAACATACGAATCATTTTTAATGGCTATGGGTGTAATAACATTCAGCCAAAGACTGATCGAAGTTGTTTATATAACATAAAAAACAAATCTATTTTGTAAAGATCGATAAAATATTTTTTTTTTTTTATTACACTGTGGTATTAATATCCACCACTATATTATCATTTTCACTAGATACAAATGTGCTCAGACAGTTAATATAGATGGTAGGCGACATCATAAAGTCTATTGCCATACATTTTTCGTCAAAGACCTCCTTAAACACATTATAATCTGTATATATGTTAGACTTGAAGGTATCTATCTATGGGCCTACGTTCCCTGACTATAAATTAATAAATAAATAAAATTATAAGGTGTGATACACTAAATATCTAAAAATAATGAAGCTACTGAATATATGGCTATAGAACCTAAATCTCTTAGCTTTCTTTGGTTACCGAGAGTTTAAAAATGCTCTCTAATCTGTGGCTCAATCACAATCATTACACAGTTTCTGTCACAGAGTACCTTATTATAACCGGAAATGACACCTGATTTTAAAAGTTACTCTTATGCATTAACTTTAAAAACAGGCAACTATCTGTTAATCTACATGCTCTATATACCTGAATCTAATCCATAATTTCAGTACTTGGCTTGATTTCCCTAGTTTACTATATAACTTTTTTGTTTTTTATTATTTTAATATGTTCAGTGTATATGGTTTATAGAAGTTCTCAGGGGTGTCCGTCAATAATATTCGTTTCTACAGTAATTTATATATAATTTCGAATCTAGGAAGCTTTTTTTCATGATTATTGGTCTTTAGGCCAAACATGTATGGAAGCTGAGCAATCTCCTTTTTTCAATAAAATACAGCTAACGTTTTAAAGATCTGTTTGATGAAAAAATAAACAAACTAAAAATAATCTTCCTTTGATAATAATTGCACAGTTAAAATCAGTACTTATATATCCAAGTAGTTACTTGATCAGTTTTATCATACTTAATATGTGATGATACATTTTTTAATAAGGTTTTTTCTTTAATTATGGATTAATAAAATTCCCCACATGTTAAAAAATTATATTGAATTAAAAGTATAAGCAGCATGTATTAAACGATAATATTACGACTTTTCTAAATTGTTAAAAGTACGTTTGAGAGAAAATTCTCAAACTAAACATCTCAGGATTTTTCAATGGAAATCAAGCCTTTTCTCCGGACTTTTGATTTTTTCATCTGGTAACCCTTATCCCGACACGTAACAATATAAAATTGGCACAATGAATTGATGAAAACACTTATATTTTCAGACCAGAGTCAATCTATTTATGTTCATTAAAACAGTCCACAGCTCCAGCTATCGTTAAACAAGGTATTCTTTTGTTTCAAAACATATTTCTCTTGTTCCCAAAAGTTTAAAATGTTTCTAAGAAAACCTTAACTATAATAGGAGTAAAAACAAATGTGGCTGTTTTATTCATTCAAGGTAATATAAAGGTGACATCAGTATCGTACAACAAACATAATGTAGCCTTCCATCACATGTCAAAATGCAAAGAATTTCAAACAACAAATAGGCAAGTTAAATATTTATGTATGTGGCATTTTATATCGTATGATGGACGTCAATATGTTTATTTATTCAACGGGCAGGCTTTTACGGAGAAATACTGAAAATATATAAAATGAAACTCACAATGTTTGACAGCTGCTTAAATTAAATAAGGTCGGTCACTAGACTCAATAACAGTCACAAAAAAACGCGAATTAATTTTAAATGCTTTGTTGTCGTATTGTATGTCTGTCGCAGAGAATGTGACCCACTGTAACGAAGCTTAAAACTGAAATGACGTATAATGTTAGTCATACACACTACGAGAAATCGTTACGATTAGACTGTACAGTCCGAACGGTACCGATAAATCGTAGCGTGTATGTTATAAAACTGCACAGTTTCCTATACGTACGCCACGTACGATAAACTGTTCCGATCGAACTGTACAGTTTGATCGTAACGATTTCTCGTAGTGTGTATCGCTACCATAACGCTACAAATACAGTCCTAAATAAATTAAAAATACATTTTTTTTTTTGAAAAAAAGGAACATTTTCTGAATTAACTTTATTAATGATCAGTGTAGTAGTAGGTGCTGAGTGTAATGAAACACATTATTCATGTAAATATTATCACTACATAGTATAAAGCAAAGTCGCTTCCCACTGTCTATCCCTATGTCCCTATGTATGCTTAGATCTTTAAAACTACGCAACGATATTACAGATTTGAAATGCAGGGACATAGCGGTTCCGACGTTAACGGGGGGGGGGGGGGGGGTCTGGCAGCGCGTGCCTATTGTAATTAAATAAATAAATAAATATTTCCAACACTCACACCAATTGTATTGCCTAGCCCCAAAGTAAGCACTGTAAGGCTTGTGTTATGGGATACTAGGGTAACGGATAGAATACATATACTGTACATATATAGGAATATTTTTATTTAGAAATACGTATTAAACATCCATGACTGGAGTACAAATGCTCGTATTCATCACACAAACATCTGCCCCCACCGGGATTCGAACCCAGTACCTCTCGAGTCGGCGACACCATGAAACCCGGCGTATAAACCACTCGGCCATGGAGGTGGTCAAAATTAGGTATTAGGAGAATCATAGATGAATGTCATTGTGTATAATACAAGCCTGAGAACAAAAACTATAGTCTACACTTCAGCTCTACACCGAAGCGAAGCGAGGGCGGGCCACTAGTAACGATAAATAAAGAAAGTAAATACGGAATAATTCATGAAAGTTATCACGTCATATCCTTTTTTTAACATCTTGGAAATGTCCTACGCATCCTTCAACCACTGGAGCAAGAGGAAGTTATCTGCGGAATCTTCTCCGCCTCTTTCATTCAGCTCTTCAACTCTATATAATAAACCCAGTAAACACCAGACAATACTCCTGCATCGGTCACCCGACACGCATAGTAAAGTCCGAGTTCCCCCTAATGCGTGTCGGAAGTGTGGTAGTAGTCATGTCATATCCTAGGCCCTGGGTTCCGAACCTGGGGGTAATTACCCCTCCGGGGGTAAATCAGCTATACTTCGGGGGTAACAAAGAACCTAATTATTTGGTCAAATCTAAATAATAAGAAAATACTATATAATAATACTACTAAATAGAGCATGCGCTCCTTCTTGCTAGCGAGCCCGCGGGGTACTGAGTGTGGGAAGCGGGGCGAGATTTCCTCCTGATGATGACATTATTAGAGACGAAGATGTAGCGGCCAAATTAGAATTTCTTGGACTGACATTAACTTTTTAAAGTCGGGGTAAAATCTGTTTTCCTAATAGCTTACAGGGGTAGCAGTATTGGAAAGGTTAGGAAACACTGTCCTAGGCAAACACAGCTTTTCAATATTTCAAGCAAGCACATTTTGTTTTTGTACAGGGCATGCAAGCCCAGACAAATGCCACCTCCATGGAACTGCAGCCTCTGACGGCTAACAGCACGTACCAAATGTTCGTGGTCGCAATGAACCAGCACGGAGCTTCGTTACCATCCAGCATGATCATCTTTAACTACACTGAGGGAGGTAAGTACTGAATGTAATTGTTACAAATTAGTGTAATGAATTATGTATATAGCTATAGCTATATACATAGTGTCCGAGCCCAACATCATAGGAGAAATTAAAGCAGCTAGACTTCGCTGGCTCGGGCATGTAGAGAGAATGGGAGAGGATCGAGCCGTGAAAAGGGCGTATTTGGGGCGACCGATAGGACGACGGCCCGTTGGACGTCCCAGATACCGCTGGAGCGACGAGGTGCAGAAGGACTTGCAGTCTTTGGATGCCGACGGCTGGCGAGACCTAGCCCGGGATCGCAGAGCATGGCATCATCTTGTATCGGAGGCCAAGATCCACTTCAAATCGTTGCGCCACAGCAGTGAGTAAGTAATTATGTATATAACTGTTCGTAGTCTACTAAATCTGAAGGCCTTAAAAGGCGTGAAGAAGCACCTCGAAGGCCTAGCAAAGGCGATAGAGTAAACTCATTTTGTTCTTTCAAATAAATTTTATTCTGGAATGTTTAATTATGATTAGTAAATAAATTTAATTTAACAAGTTGTATGTCTCAAGAAGTTGTAGTAAATATTCAGAGACGGTTATTAACATTATGAACATCAACACAAATTTGCCACTAATGTAATCTAATTTATTGTTCTAAAGCTATTAGCACAGCTACAAACAGTATATCACCCAAAGAAAATAGTAAATCCCGTCGACCTCATCTATTGATGGAAATCAGAAATCAATATATCTTTATTCAAATTGGATGTATAGTACAACTCTTTTGAATATTCCAAATTCTTTTTTCCCTACCACTCGTTACGGACATATTTTTTAGCTGCGGAGGAAAACGAGCGAAAAAAACTCCACAACATTAAAAGTCTAATGTAACAACATTTACAAATCATTATGTTGTTACAACGTCAATACAATCATGATTTATTTAATATAGAAAATCTGTTGGAATGATTGGAACAGTTCAAACCCAAGCATTTTCGTCTGTAATATAATCACTTTGTAATGAGCTTTTTTATAATAAGTGTTTTTTGTATACTATCTTTAAATTTATTTATGGCTAACTCTTGGATATTGCTTGGGACTTTATTGTATAAGCGAACACAAAGACCTTTCAATGAATTATTAATTTTGTGAAGCCTAGTAGCAGGTAGAGTTAGTTTATTTTTGTTTCTTGTATTTAGTGTGTGAACATCACTATTTTCAAGAAACAAATTAATATTTTTTCTTACAAGTAATAAATTTTCGTATATGTATTGTGATGCGACCGTCATTATTCCAAATTCTTTAAACTTATCCCTTAACGATTCTTTAGCTTAAAGATTATAAATTGATCGAATAGCTCTTTTCTGCAGCACAAAATTGTTTGAATGTCAGCGGCATTTCCCCGCAATAAAATTCCGATAGTCTTCTAGTATCACAAACATCTAGTATTAGAATGATTTCTGTGGGTGTATTTGGTTTTTCTACTCTTTGTCCACCATGGAGGCAATATTAATACATTCATCATCATCATCATCATCAGCCTATTAATGTCCCCACTGCTGGGGCACAGGCCTTCCCTATGGATGGAATAGGGAGATTGGGCCATGACCCACCACGCGGGCCCAGTGCGGATTGGTGGGTGCCAACGACTGCAGATGCAGCCGGGACCAACGGCTTAACGTGCCTTCCGAAGCACGGAGGAGCTCGAGATAGTAAATTTTTGGTCACCCATCCAATGACCGACCATTGCGAAAGTTGCTTAACTGCAACGATCGCAGTCGAACACACTAACCACTTGCGCCATCGAGCTCCTCTTAATTATTGAGTTCTCTCTTAATACATTATTGAGTTCCTATCAAGAAACCCACCAAATCTTATTATATGTTTTGATCTACAGAAGAAAAAGAAGTGAATGGAGTACCATCGCCTCCACACTCACTCTCCGTCGCTTCTCACTCTGCCACCTGGCTCACTCTGAGCTGGCAGCCGCCACAGTTCTCCTTGCCAGACGAAAAGCTATCCTACACGTGAGTAAATAGATACTATCTTTGCATAAAAGTACCCTTAAAGAATGTACGAACAACAATTTCATTACGCAAGTAATAATAAGAAATTATTAAATTCATGAATTTAAATTATAGAAAATTTAGAACTTGAACTGTTATGTTCATTTAGATTTCGCACGGAACTTTCATCTAGAATTCGATTTAATATAATTTATAACGTATAATTTACGACACAATTTAGATAACAGTTGAAAATGATTTTTCAAGGGTATTGAATGAATTCTTCACGTTTAATAAACAGGATAATTGGTCCTTCGAGCCGGACAAGGCTATATTTGATTGACAAAATTTTAATAATCATTTCGTAAATGCGAAATAACATTTTTAATAATGAAAATAATACAGCTAGCTATACTTTCCAGTTGCCACATCCAATAATGTCAATCTCTCCATAAATCTTTCAAAACGTCTTCTTAGCCATTAGGAGAGAGTTCCCTTTGCCTATTACGGATAAAGAGAAAAATAACAAAAGAGGGAGTATTGATTATGAACAAGCTTTCTCCGTCAGGTTGTATTACAAATCGCCTTCTCAAGCGGGACAGGGCAACTTGACTGCCATCAACACCACTGTGCCGGGCCACAGCCTAGAGAAGCTTACGCCGAACACGCAGTACGTCATTTGGGTGAAGGCGCACTCGGAGAAGGGAGACTCACTGCCATCTGAAACTCTGCTGGCCTGGACAGATCCCGCGTACCCCGCTTACGTTGAGGTAATTGCATATTTTTCTCATCTTAGTTGAAAATCCCTTTCCGCGTCTTTCCATTTATTTCAATCGGGCTGCGTCGCTTATACTAATTCTGAGTATCATACTGTGAAAAAATGTAGATACGGAGATTATAATTTTAATCACAAGATTTGAGATTTCGTTTCGAGAACTTATTATATTGCTATGTTAAATTCTTGTTGCTTTGTATTTAAAGTGCCTAGATGTTTATTGAAATCTTTAAAATAGACTTGTGCAATAGGAAAACCAATGTAAAATCTAGAAACTCATACTTTTTAAAGGGACATGAAATTGCTTTATTTTTCATTGCAAAATCATTTTACGTATTTTCACTGGTATATGGATACGAAAAGGGTCTCGCTCCTAAGACTGCTTTACATATAAAAACATCTGAGAACTACTCTTTAATCTTGAGCGCTCACTTTGATGGGTTCAATGCTACAGTAAAAATTACAGATACTGATAAAAATATGCAAATTCCCCTTTTGATGTCGGAGGCAGGTACAGGGAAGCACCCTATAAGGGGGATCAGGCTTTTTTCTCGCCTTAACTCACTTTTCAGGAGAAAGAATCGTTTTGCGCCCTTCTTAAAATGTTGCAAAGATTTTACAACTTTGAAAGATTGGCGTTACACAAAGTGTTGCCGTGAATATTTAATTAGACGCTTTTTCCCCGTTTTCGCTTGTTTCAGCAGTTAGCAAACATTTCGTTTACTCCCAATGTACACTTAATATTTTTTTATTAAATTGGTAATTTCGTTTGTTTAACGTATTCGGTACCATTGTTTTTGTATCTGTTATCTGCTGGATATAATTTACATATTATTTATCCTGTTATAAAAGTTCTTTGTACCGACGTACAAGCTGGATCTGCCCGTTAATAAATATTCCATTATTTAGCTTTAGAACCCAATTCTAAGAATAACATCAATAGAAAGACCACTATTATGTATAATTTTGTTGCGAATATGAAAAAATCAGGTTCAACTTTGTAGAGCGTTTTTATCGTGAAACTCCTTTGGATTCACGACTGAATTTATAAATGCAAATATCTATTCATCTTATTCAAATTGTCTTATAAGAATGGACCGAACAGGAAACGATCTTCGGGCCCACTTAAAGATAAGCAGTCACCGTATCCTATAGGCACTTCTGATACCAAACGAAAATTAGATGTGTTTTGGAGTCTGTATGCTGGTCGCAAATGACCTTTACAGCTTCATCGAGCTTGGCGAGATCCTTAGGGGACCTCTAACTAATCTGAGGAACTCATGATGGCGCAGGTGGTTAGCGCGTTCGGCTGCGATCGTTGAAGTTAAGCAACTTTCGCAGTGTTCGGTCATTGGATGGGTGACCAAAAATCTTCTATCTCGAGTTCCTCCATGCTTCGGAAGGCATTAAGCCGTTGGTCCCGGCCGCATCTGTAGTCATTATCATCCGCCGATTGGGCCCGCGTGGTGGGTCATGGCCCAATCTCTCTATTCCATCCATAGGGAAGGCCCGTGCCCCAGCAGTGGGGACATTAATAGGCTTATGATAATGATGATAATCTAACTAACGGACTAACTTTACCCCGTCATCATCCCTATTGTGGTCTTGGCTAAGATGCAGGTTATTTCGAAACGCTCCAATTGAAATCAGCTAACTTTGATCTTTATCCACAGCCGCCTACCGTGAACCCGGTGAATCTCGTGGTAGAAGGGTCCAGCATGACTATCCTCTGCATCGCAATGGGAACTCCCACCCCCACAATCTCACTCTACATCAGTGGTATGTATATTATTGCAAAGTTAAAATTTATGGGGAAACAATAAAGAAATAGAAAATGCTGATATCTTTATACCAATAAAATATTAGTATTTTCTACAAAGTCTCTTCCTCAAAGTTCTTCTGTTAAAGAGCCGTTGTGTGTGTTCTTAGCTTACTGCCATTGGTAGTAACGAAAATTAGGTTTAAGGATTTTTTAACAATTTTTTTCGGACAAGACAAAGTTTCTGAAGTCCGCTAGTCTTTCATAAATTTTAATATAGCTTAAGGGTTTTTAATTTATTCTACCAGGTCGGCTGGTCCGCCAGGAGGTCACCAGGCACATGGTGACCGTGATCCACAACGTGACTCGGGACATGGACGAGATCGCGTGCTACGGCGACAACGGCTACGGCACCCCCATGCAAGCTGCCAGAAAGATTAATATTTCACGTGAGTACTGATGTCCTTTTCTAACACTCTAGAAACTAAGAGACGGCAACATTTAAGAATTGATCTGACAACATCATGTGCTACGACGCCAACGGCTTGAGCACTCCCATGCAAGCTGCTAGGAAGATATACATATCACGTGATTACAAATATTATTCTCTAAAACTGTAGAAACTATAGAGATAGTAAGATAAAAGTGCCTGATCACTTACAAAACAATCAAATTATAATGCTATTATATCTACTACGAGTGCTACGAGTGCTACGACGCTTCGGCTACGGCACTTACATGGCCTACATGTTTCAGCACTCAGCCTAATCCAACAAGTAAAACGTAATGTAATCTTCTACGTCTCTCATACGTGTATCAACATAACATTATTATACGATGATTACCTACGAGATAAAATAATTACTTAATTCAAACTTCAGACACCATATCAAGAAGATGTATTTTATGTATGTATGATTTATCGGGCAAAAGAAAAGAGGAAATTCCTTCGCCGAACCTCTTTTTAAATATTTGTCATCGCCTTCCACCAAACGCTCATGCAGCCGTCAGTTAATTCCATCAGTGAAGAATGATAAGAAATATGCATGGTGACTGAAAAGTCATCAGTCGCTTTACATGATAGGTAATCCATCAGTCATGACCTTGACTGCCAGTAAACTAATAGAAAAGTCAACGGTATAACGGACGCCTAATCCACTTAAAATTTTTGCTTGTCCCACCAGATGTACCCACTATCCAGGCATCAGGGATAACAATGGCAGCGGCAGGTGACTCTGTAATCCTGGAATGTCGTGTGGAAGCTTTGCCTAAACCAACTATAGCGTTCTGGAGAGACCCCAACGGAAGGACCCCGGTCATCGATGGACCCAACTACACCATACAGTTGATAGCGGACCCTGACGTAAGTTCATTAAATATAGTTTAATAATTAATAAATATTTCCAACACTCACACCAATTAGCCTAGCCCCAAAGTAAGCATTGTAAGGCTTGTGTTATGGGATACTAGGGTAACGGATAGAATACATATATAAGTATATTTTTGTAGAAATACATATTAAACATCCATGACTGGAGTACAGATGCTCGTATTCTTCACACAAACATCTGCCCCCACCGGGATTCGAACCCTTCACCCTCTCGAGTCGGCGACACCATGAACCCCAGCGTACAAACCACTAGGCCACGGAGGTAGTCATCATTTAGTTAGTTTTTGTATATGGCAAACAAGCATGGGTCCGCCTGATGGTAAGCTGTCCTTGCAATACCAGAGTATCACTCGTGCGTTGGGGGAGTTTTTGGCGAGATTTCATCGAGTGCGGTTGGCGTCTGATTTCAATTATTCTTAAATTCGTTCATAGTGGATATTGTGAAATAAAATTGGTGTGATTTTGTGTTAAAACCATCTGTGCAACTGAAGAATTAGCGGAATCTTTAAAATATACACTATTCCGGTCAAATGGAAGTGAAAACTTTATTGTAGTGTTGACTACCTCACAGCAGCTTATCGAAAAAACCAACTCGATACATTTCGTGCCAAACACTCCAAGAAACATTAGAATGCGTCACACCGACATTCTAATGTAAACAAGAAGATTAAGATTTGTATTTATGTATACGACTGAAGGACTTGTATCCACGGTCACGAATTATTAAAAAAAAAACTCGTGCGTTGTCTACCCTGACTCAAGGGCGGATACAGCTTTGGCGCCAGGGGGGGGTCATATAGCCAGCTTTGGCGCCGGGGGGGGGTCATATAGTCATGGTGTATTAAATATTGAAAGTACTTAAATAAAATCCCCCTGGGTTTGGTCCATCTGTACCCAGCCCAGGGGATCCGCCCTTGCCTGACTGTATCACTTTCCCAACGGAACCATTGAAATTACTCGCCAGCAGAAACAAAATAATCATCAAAATGTTTGTGCAGTCAATGCTACGACGAAAAAATACATTTGAAATTTGCACTGATAAAACTTTTGAGCTAAATATTGAATTATCCCTGAAAAGTGTGATTAAACATGTGTATGTGAATAGACGTATTCTGATTATAAAAAAATCGAAAACTTGCCATACGACATACATGTGTTCCCGATTTTAGTACCAGAACTAAAGCCGGGGGGACTCGAAACAATAGAAAGTTTAAAGAAAAGTTTTACTAGCAAAAAATCCACGTGGGCCAGGCAGCGGACGGGACTCGAACCCGCACCCTTCGCAATCCGGGCGAATGCACTGACCAATTATGCTACCACGGCCCTGATGGCCGCGTCGAAATTTTCCTAGCCTTAAGCTGCAAGGCAGCGCCATCTCTTCGCATTGTAGGTAACCCACAATGTCAAATGAATACTCTTTCAAGTATTAAATATTTGAAAGAAGAAATAGCAATTATAGTTATGTTTTTATTTTTTAAGCATTTAACTGTTAGATGTTTAAATTTAGCTTAAGGCTAGGAAAATTTCGACGCGGCCATCAGGGCACTGGTAGCATAATTGGTCAGTGCATTCACCCGGATTGCGAAGGGTGCGGGTTCGAGTCTCGTCCGCTGCCTGGCCCGCGTGGATTTTTTTCTAGTAAAGTTTTTCTTTAGATTTAAACATCTAGCAGTTAAATGCTTAAAAAAATAACAACACAAATTGAAAGTTTGATAAGTATCATGAACAAAAACCTTACGCAATTAAGGTTATTAAACGGTATTAAATAAGTCTTGTCAGTCTATGGTCCCAAATGGGCCATGTTTTATTAAATTAACCTGCAACATTAAACCATAACTCATTTGTGATTAATTAATTTTATTTTTATTTTGCCTCCTCCTAAAATGTTATTCAAACAAGTTGGACATAATTCATCTTCTCAATCAAACTCAATATTCCCCTAAAGTTGTAATTAATATAAGTATTAATTTAACAAGCACCATAAGTCTTCTGTGTTGTGCTGGGAGTACAATGAAAACATTGGATATGGGGCCGTCCATATATTACGTCATTCTAAATTAGGGGGGGGGGGGGTTCGAAATTGACGTCATTCTTATTTATTTATTTATAGTTTATTGTTCACGTACAAAAAGATTATTTCTAAAAAGAAATTTCCTCCAGCACACCTAGTAAGTGAGACTGCAAATGTGAGAGGCGGCTAAGGCACGTACAATACTAAAATAACTCATAATAAACATACATAATGCAACATCGATGTACACAAATACAGTAATAACTACATATAAAATACTCTAACAATAATATTACATATAATACTAGCTTTTCTCAAATCTGCAATGTTTTAATTTTGTCAAACTGGTAATGACGTCAATTTTGGGAGAAGGGGGGGGGGGGTCATTAAGAAATGACGATAGGATGATTGTAGGGGTAGGGGGGGTCTAAAATCTGAAAAAATCGATGACGTAATTTATGGACGGCCCCTATGTCAGCTGCTAACATTGCAGTGTATACTGTTAATGTCTCATAACGGGCCATTTGTGTTCTTAGGCAGTGTTTTGAAACAGGTTCGCTATTTTTCCGGCCAACAAAGAATGTATATATGAATACATCATCTATTAACGCAATATGTCCCTTGCGGTGTCATACTAGAATCGAGATATATTCATTTGGCAACACTTCATTCTAAAATGTCGTTTGTCATTGCCTGTGACGACTTCATGGTGTCACCGACTCGAGAAGTCCCAGGTTCAAATCCCGGTGAGCCACGGGATTCGCCAAAGTGCGGTGCCCTGTAGACGCCGCCAAAAAGGTGGCGGAGGGCGACAGGCTCAAAGTCGGCTGGAGCCTGGCCCGCGTGACGGTCTTGGGCCCCCCTCCTACGCACTGCTTTAAGTGCATGGGCAGGGGCCACGTCGCCGACAGATGCCCGTCCAAGGAAGACCGCAGTAGCCTATGTTTTCGGTGCGGGAAAGCGGGGCATAGGGCGGCGACATGCTCTGCCCCGTCTAGATGCGCTGTGTGCGCGGATAGTGGTCTGGCGGCTGACCACGTCATGGGCGGAAGGAGGTGCGACCCTCCAGTTGCCAGGGACAAACCCCCGGACAAAGTGGTCGCGGAGCCGTCGGCGCCTGAACGGGTGCCTAATGAGGAGGGGATGTCTGAGTAGCCTAGGCCGCTCGGACACCCCAACTCAACTGCCCGCGTCTCCTCTCTCTTCTCCATGGAGAAGGGGCGAGGAGACCCGGGCGACAGGGAAAGGAGTAAAGGATGGGGAGATCGCTCCCTCTCCCACTCCCCCAGGAACGGCGGCCCCCCCTTCTTGCAGTTCTGATCTGCAAAGGGCGGGTGGCGGAGAGCTCTACGGGTACTCCTGTACAGCCATCCGCAGCGGATGGGGGGCGGTACGGTGGGCAGTAGGCCGCGTACCCAGCCCCCACGCGCGGGCCTACCTGCGCACGTCTGCGGGGTCCCCGAAATACCGCGGGAGACCCCTGCCGTGGAGCCCCGGCAAGGCCGGGAAGCTGCTGGGGGCGGAGCCGTGGTAGACTCCCTAAACGGGGACCCCACGGCTTCGCGCTAAGCAGTGTAGAGGTATTCGCAGGACTTTTTTAGCGGATATTATACCGTAAAGCGCCCGTAAGAGTTGCGGGGTCCTCGGTGGGTAGCCACTGGGGGGTCCGTAAGACTTGCGGGAGCCAGGTGTGAGGTCCGTTCGGCGGTGTGCCTCTTAAAGGCGCCGTCGTCTGTAAAAAGATTTTTTACCTGCGTATAAAAAAAAAAAAAAAAAAAAAAAAAAAGGTTCAAATCCCGGTGGGGGCAGATGTTTGTGTGATGAATACGAGCATTTGTACTCTAGTCATGGATGTTAAATATGTATTTCTATAAAACTATACTTATATTTGTATTCTATCCGTTCCCTAGTATCCCATAGTACAAGCCTTATAGTACTTACTTTGGGGCTAGGCTAATTGGTGTGAGTGTTGGAAATATTAATTTATTTATTTATACTGAATACATTTCATTTACCGGGTTTAGACCACAGAGTTAGGACACCCGTTTTTTCTATTAAGTTTTAATGAAAATCCAAAACAGATTCATAATTTTCCTTTCGCTTTTGATATCTTCGCCGAAAAGTTCTGCATTTATCTGTCGCTCGGTGATCTGACATGAAAGAAATACTCATTATAAAATGTATAATATTAAATCTCGAAATAAACAATATTTATTTCCTTCCGCCTTGTTACTAACTGAATCAAAACCGTCTTTGGCGAAATTCAGATCAGTCCCAGGCTCGTAATGTAATAAAATCCTTCAAATACAAATACCGCCGCAAAGAAAACTAAATCGTCTTTATTAATACCTTAACGTCTTAATTCGTATAGCCGCTGCATAAGCCTCATAGATCGTTAGATTATATTCAGACATTTCACTCGATGCCTCGCCACTGTAAATATTGTTGTTTATTTAGTTAAAGTTGTCACGGGTTACATATTTCATTCGCTATGTTAATCATACATACCGGCAAAGTTCTTGAGGGGACTTTTTGGCGGGATCGGGAAGCGTCACTTTAGCAGTTTTGTTTTTCTTGTTAAAAATCGTGTTGTCTTATATTGGTGGATTATTAACCACTAAGTGTTCGGGAACATGCACAAGTGTTGGCAAGTGAAACAAAATAGCGGAAAGTGTCTTTCGACGTTCCCTCAAGAAGTCCACGGGGAGGTTCCAGTAAATCGCCACACTTTTACTGAAACATTGGAAAAGGGGGATTGACTTGACTGCCACTTACTTTGACTTGATTTATTACTTTGACCACGAGTGCTATATTAATTGTAAACATTTTAACACTTGACATTGGCTAAATGCACAAGCCTCGCGAAACCTTTTAGGAAAAAAAAGTTCTTGAGCAAGAACCATAGACAAGGAAGCCTGCGCAGCGCAATTTTATTTTTAAAAAGTCTACTACGCAAGTTTAT